GTTCTATATGTAACCACGTATCATAATGAGAGACTTTGAGAACTGCAATATGATTTCGACTAAGATAATCAGCGTGAGTTAATGTTGACCCTTTGCGGTAGACGATATCGTAGTTGAAATCTTGCATGTATGTCCACCACCTAGCAATATGAGGAATTATTTCTTTCTTGCGCTCAGTCGCTTTGACAGAGTTACAGTCTGTCACTATGGTGAATTTTATCCCAATTAGATATACTCGAATATGTTTTAAGGCATTGACTATAGCGAGAGTCTCGAGTTCATAAGAGTGATATTTTGATTCGGCCGGCGTAGTACGTTTACTATAATATGCCACGACTCTATTTTGACCATCATATTTCTGCATTAATATTGCCCCATAGCCAAGAGAGCTGGCATCTGTATGCAATTCGGTTGGAAGGTTTGGATTGAAAACAACTAATAGTGGTGCGGACGTTAGACAATCAATCAAGTATTGTTTAGTTCTTTCATGATCGATTCCCCAAATGAAAGGAATATTCTTTTTTGTAAGTGCCGTTATGCAAGCGGTCCTAGTCGCAAATTCAGGAATGTACTTTCGAAAGTAGCTTGCAAGTCCCATCAATTGGCGAACTTGTTTAATATTTTTTGGTGATTCAACATTTCGAAGGGCCTCAACTTTACGCGTGCCAGGACGAATACCTTCAGAAGATATCTCTTGACCTAAGTATTCAATCTTAGATTGCAAAAAAAAACATTTTGCAATATTTAGCGAGAAACCAGCTTTTTTGAGTGCCTGTAGTACTAGCTCAAGAGAATTCAATCCTTCTTCAATAGTTAGGGAAGGTAAAAGGATATCATCAAGATAAACCAAAGCCACAGAATCTTTAAGAGTTCCCAGTGCCTTATTGATGGAGCGTTGAAAAACTGCAGGGGCATTAGCCAAACCAAATGGCATACGAATATATTCGTAATGCCCATCTGGCGTGACAAACCCTGTCTTTTCTATTGAATCAGCACTGATGGGTATTTGATGGAAACCCGAGTTCATGTCCAACGACGTGAAAAAATGTCCTCGTCCTAATTGATCCAACTGATCATCTATCCTCGGTAGAGGATATCGATCTTTTATCGTATGAGCATTTAATTCTCGAAAATCTACTACCATCCTATATGAACCATTCTTCTTTTTGACTAGAAGGACAGGACTTGAATATGGGGAACTGCTTCCACGAATGATTTGGTTACTCAATAAATCTTTTACAATATTTTTTACTTCATTTCTCTCATGCGCAGCAAGTCTGTAGGGACGGCGGGAGACAATGAAATTGTCAATCAAATTGATATCAAGAGAAGCATTATTAACAAGTGAACCATTCGTTCCCATGGCGATCATATCAGAGTAATTACTGAGTAAAGTTATTAACTTACTTGAGTATTCATCAGGCACATTATACTTGCCCATGCACTCATTTTGTGTGACACGTAATATACCAGGCAGTTGACGGCGAACAACTCGAGTACCTTCACTATCTGTAACTACACTAGCTGACTGTTTTGAAATAAATCGCAACCAATAATTACATCGTATTCAATGCACTCAGAAGGAATTAACATGAAAGTTAAAGTAGTACTTTGCCCGGTGATCTCAACATTGGCTCTGAATTTATACTTGGACTTCAACTCACCAGGTATAATACCACGTAACACGGTTTGATGTTCCTCGAGCTTGTTTGAAAAATGTGAAAGGAATTTATCTGAAATAAGTGAAACATCAGCGCCGGTATCTACAATGCCCATATACAAGTTTGAATCAATTTTGATTTTCATTGGTACAACAGTTTTGTTAGTTGTGACAACATTAACATTTTTTCGTTCCTCAATATTACGTTTGACATAACACGATTCAACAGAATGACCTTTCTTGAAGCAAAATTGGCATAGTTCATTTTTACGTTCGACCTTGATAGTATGAGAATCGGCTGAAGTAGATGTACTAGGCTGATTTGACGTGTGGGTACTAGGTAGTGAATTACGTAAACGAACATCGAATTTATGATTGTTGAAATTCTTAGCAACGCGGCAACTATTTTCAACATGCCCAGTCTTACCGCAACGGAAACAAACTCGTGAATTACTTGGTTTGCTTGAAACACCCCTCGCGTTACTAAGCGCGTTATCACCATGCTCAATTCGAGGTCGCTTGGTCAGAGGTTGTTCTGAACTGTCAAACGAACTAGGTCGCTGTTGATGATACGTCTCCGGAATTACAGGCTTTTCAATTGTACTCACATAAGTTATAAGATCTGCTATTGTATTGAAATCATGCATTATCAAAGATTCACGAACTTTGTGTTCCGATATTCCAAAAATAATCAATTCAATCAAATCTTTGACACACCAATTGGCCCGCAAATTTTTCAGCTTTGATAATTTCTGATGAATATATGAAACATAGGTATTACAACTCGAACTATTGAAATTCGCAGCTTCGCATAACAATGAACCAAGAATTTTCTTACGAGGAAATGCTTCTAAAAATTCCCGTTTAAATGTCTCCCAGTCCCTTTTAACTGGTGACCAATTTTCATACCACCATTTAGCATCATTAGTTAGGTATTTTCCCACTCTCACCACTACTTGCAGATCTGACCATTCGAATTCTTCCTTGATTTCTTGTATTTGCCGTAGCCAAGCCTCAGCAACATCCCTATCTGGTCGAAAAATCGGCAAATCCACTTGTTCAGGTGCTGTTCTGTTTGACTTGATAGTTTTCAAAACTTCGGCTAATAAAACTTCCATATTTTCATCGGTGAAACGTGAACGTGGGTGAATCGCACTTCTGATAATAGTATATAACAGATTTATTCACAAAAACTCAATTTTAACAAAGATTGGTTAACAATAAGAACTAATCGAGACACGTTCGATTACTCAAACTAAAAACTGAACTGCTCGGTGTCCGTTATCACTCTTGATTATTCAATAACCGCATTCCAACGATGATATGGTTGATTCATTGCTGACAACTAGTTGTATTTACGGGGTGCTCCGAATATTGACGCTAACAATATTGATATTTCATAATCTCCCTCTTATATTCGCGTTTGTTTTGGTTCTTGATTTTCCAGTAGTATATGACGGGTATCGGCACTTCTTCACAGACTTTGCCCTCCACGACGTCTCGATGAATGGAAACTCACGCCGTCTCACACTACAATTTCGTCAACTCCATCACCGTCGATCATCATCATCATCTGTTGCTGAATTCCGTCCGCCATATCGCGACATTGGCTAACGATTCACACCGCCTCTGGACTATGGTATTCATGACCTCTTCTCTCGTTATGTAGCGGTGACCCATTTTTTAGCGTTGTTCTCTCTGGCCATCTTCTACGATTGATGAATCATTGCTTGAAGACGTTCCCGTTCCTGAATGCTACCTCTACTTCCAATTTCAACAATCTTTCAGTGAAATCCTGGAATTTGTTGTCATATTTCGACATTATTCCATCGGTGTTTTTTGACATGATGTCCATCTTCTCGATTGAATCGTTCACCTTGGGCACCATCATGAGAACCTTCTGAGCAAACTAGGGATAATCTTTGATATGCATCTTCACATCATTCAGAGATTTCCTCATCTCAGACATTTGTTGGTTATAGAACTCCAATGGTACATTATCTCCACCACTCGACGGATTACCGATATTTGTTAATCGTTTACCCTGCATATCATAGTTACCGCTGCTGTCCAGTTTGAACCCAATTCCGGGCCGACCATGCAAGGAGCTCAGCGATTTGCTCTTCTTGCGACCAAATTTATCGATAGCGTTATACATCTTCCACAAAGAACCGCTGAACGTGAACACGCGACTTTTCACGGCTTCTACTAGTTAACCCCCATATCTCTCTCTTTCTCTATCTATCTCTTCCTCATCCACTTTGATGCCTCTATATCGCACAATAATCTGGATTTGTGATTTCGATCTTTGTTAAAATAATAAGCATTCGTATTTAAATGTTTTATTACTATATCCTAATATTTACAAAAATGAATTGAAAGAATTTACGCTAGAAATTTTCTATGAACCGATGCATCTCCCTCTCATCATCGGTGTCCAACTCCATGTCCGCCCGAAGGTGTTCATCGATACCGTAGTATTGATTTCTACGCTCGTGGCGGATTCGACGACGTTGGCGACGGCTTTCCTGTCGCCTTGCGCGCCGCTGGACCCTTGCAGCTTCCTCCCTGTCACGTTCTCCGACCATCTACTCCTCCTCAGCCCTCCTTACTACATCTCCTACGGCCTGATCGTCGTCGTCTATGACAATAATATTATTTTCCCCCTGTTGCCGGAGTTGACGTATAAAATTATTTATCGTCATATAGGCGCCGCCATCCTCGTTCCTATCAGCCGTAGTTGAATCACATGGGCCTTCTGGTGAATGCGGACGCTGGTAGGACGGTCTCGGAACCCCGTCGTTGGTGGTGGTGCTATCAGCTTCTGCGATGGCTACACAAGTCACTGATGGATTCATTTTGCTTGTTGAATTTCGAACTGAATGATTCGAAAAGAGTGATTGAATTTAAATCAGTGAGTCGGAGTGGGATTGCTGGTCATGTTGTTAAAATAAGTGATGGGATAGGTTGTGGTGGGAAAAAGTAGTGGGGGGTTGAAATGAACGGAACTACCATAGTTTATATCAGTTGGTTTATTGAAATAAAAAAAGTTTGAACTTCTCAGAGTAAGATGTTCTCTGATAACTCCATCATAACTCGATAAATTCTCGCGTAGCTTATGTTCATAATCTTTTATTGATGGTTCCGGGTATGTGTCGAACACAATATCAATGTTTTTACTCTTCAAGGAACATAACATTTCTAAGATTTGCAGCGAGATCTTCCCAAAGTTTCGTTGTTCATTTTTCAATAAATAAAGAAAAAAGAAGCCATCAACGATGTAATGATCAATGATAGCTGGGGCAAACGAATCTCCAAGTTCAGCTTCTAAGGTTTTTACTTAAACCGATTCATCGGTTTTATGTAACACCCCGTCTATGTGGCAAAAAACTGTTGGAGCTGGGGTGATCGGATATCTCATAACTTTTACAAGGTTGACTTTATTTTCCAAAGCAATCGCCAACAAACGTTCGAATAGATCTCGTTGTACAGTCACTTCTTGGACTTTCTTCCCTACTTTAAATTTCTTCTTCGTTTTCAAATTGGCGAAATTTTCGACAAATACTCTCTTTATAGGCTTGCCAAAACGCTCATTTTTCTCATCAGCTATACATTCTTCTATAAATGTCGTTCGCAAAAGCTGGCAGTTTTCCAAAATATTAAGAAGAAAATTCGCGATAAAATCTGTCGCAGTTGCTCCTGTAGATAAATTGTATAGTTTGTCTTGTTTAATAGAGGGGGAGAACGGATTTAGTCTCTCATTTATCCCATCAATGAACTTCATCAAATGATTGTTATCCTTCTCAATACGACTATCAATGAGGTCTCTGCTGACGAACTGTCTCTTGACCCCCGTTAAATCGTAGATGTATGACAAGATGGAAGTTCTCACCCCGTGACTGATGCTCCACCGCTGCCGAGCTGCCAAGGAATTGGTGAAATGACTAATCCCTGTCAAGCTTCTTGCTGAATGGCTTGTCCGTACGTTTTATACCGAAGCTTCCAGCTCGGAAAGATGCGATCAGACCTGGGTGAGTTTCGTCTACACTTACCAAGTTAACATGGTACTGAACCAACCAGCGGGAATAATTCTGCTGATTGAAAGAAAAAAACAGGTTACACATTTTTGGAAGAACGTGCACAAATAAATCAAAATTTCCTGTTCTGATGGCTGTTGTAAATTCTATATAGTACGAGACTAGAGTGGAATAGATAATACATAACTGCCCAGTTTTCCCATGCTTTCCTTCCACAGTTTCCTTCCGGTATTCTTGATACTTGGTCAATATTCCAAGAATAAACTCATTATCGACACTCGGTGTAGCTGACCTCGTATTTTGAAATGTTTCCAGATACTTGATTACATCATCTTTTTTATCACTTATAGTAGTACTTTTACTAAGATGGGTTGAACTCTGATATTCTAATTATTTCCCGCTTTTATAATTGAACTTAGTTGGATACTGATCTGTGTAGCCAAATTGGTCAATTCATGAATATTTTTTCAATTATGAAAATACCACAGAAATACTTTTATTTCTACGAATAGTGCAAGCATGGTTTTTCAGTTTAGGTTGAAGGGTGTTGTGAGGAATCAACGATTCATTTTTCTCCGTGTATACGGTGTGTGCCAGTTACTCGAAGGCTCGGGCCGCCCGGTCAATAAAAGTGTAACTGAAAATTGATTCATAGCTTCCTTAAGAGAATATTTCCAGAAATCACAAGAACAAAACTTGAGATATCGCATTTTTGCGGTTTTTTCCTTGTATTTCGTTTCCTTTATGTAATACGTCACCCTGTAGATCAAGATCAAAATTTAAAAAAAATACATATTTCTTCAAGTTTTGAGTTGAAAATATATTTTTTTAGTTTTTAGGCCAACTCTATGACGCTTTTGAACTGCCATCCTGAAAAAACTTCTTTTTCACGAGTACTTGCATAATTAATAGTTGCAACTGTAAATTAGGAAGGGGAAACCTTTTTTTTTACACATCCCCTAATTTACAGTTGCAACTCTAAAGTTAGAAAGAATTTGATTGTCGATATCTTGAGCTCTTACAGGGTGTTGAACGAATTTTGCCGCCATTTTTGCTAATTTTAGTGGGCCAAATGTAATCCCCGCAACTCGCAAATCGTATGCAAATCATTATTCCATGCATAGTTTATGCTTAACTAACCTTGATCAAAATTTGGGAGCTTCGTAGATAATCTTGTACATACAGGTCAATGATGTAAAGTGACCTTCGAATATGTCTAAATTCGCCCACCCAAACTGTATGCAAATGTTATGGCATTGATTCATGGGTCGAAATGAAGGAATTAACCAAAGGGCATACCATCGTAAATAATCTAAGAGAAATGTCGGTTAACGGTAACTTGCGGTCCGTATGCCGCCCTTCGGGACCGACCTAGACGTATGCAAATCGGCTAGCGCCCGGTTAATTTGGCGAGATGCGACTATTCCAATGAATTTTGAAGCTTCTTCTATGATACAATTTTCAACAGTACTTTCAACAGGAAGTTGATTGATTAGGGAGATGGGCGACCGGGTACCGATCCAACTATATAACCACTTTTTTCCCGATAATCCAACTCAATCTTCATGTCTCTTGAAGGGCATACCTTCGTAGATAATCGACACCCCTAGTGTTATGCGCCAACGGTCTATTATCACAAGATTAATATCTCATTTTATTATCTCATTTTATTATCTCATTCCAACAACTATCTAGTAACTAACCAGTAAATTACCAGAATATTATCACAAAATCTTAGTTCATCAGTACTAATGCAACTGGCATAAGACACTATTATCACAAAATTTTAGTTCACCAAAGTAATGGTCCTGCCTACTACTTGATACTCGACGTATTATCAAACTGAATAATCAACACAGCATTATCTTGTGTGGAATACTTGACATTTGGAAATATCAACCAGTGTATATACCCCCTCAGTAGCGCTACTGGAAGTTCACAGGTTCATCATCCAAGGTGTAGGTACAAGGAGATAGTGGAGGCAGAGGTATAAACCAATACAAATACCAACGATTATAAAGAAAATAACAAATATAGGCATCACACGAATTTGTACAGTATACGACGAGCTTTCTAGTTTTCATAAAAATAATATTGTGGTGAAGTTGTAGTGCCTGGGTGACCAACCTCAGGAACGTTAACTGCTACTGTTGGGACCTGATGTGCCGCTGGGCGAGGTCCTAATCTTACATTTAAGGTTACCTGGTGGTACTGGTAGTGCGAGGTACCTTTGAGACCCCTATGATACCTGGAGTGCAGCAGTCGAGACTTCAGGGTGGCCTCGATGTCGTTAAAGCCTGTTGGAGTACCGAAGGTGTAATGGGGGCCACGAATGTGCTCTCTCGACGTGAAATGGAGAAGGGTTCAGGTGAATGTCGCCTCCTCTTCAGAACTACTTATGAATCGAATTCTCTTATTGTATGGTGTATGGTATCGAATGTTCTCGAATCTCAGAGAGGTACTAGAAGGCCTGAAAATTACAACTTATCAGCCACGTGGGGGCGCAAGACCAAGAATTGAGCCGAGATTGAAGATGGAATGATTAGTTTGATATTTTAATATGATTTTTGATATTACATACCTTAGATGTTGTTCGGCCTTTATTTTTAAATTGAATAGAGGAATTGCTCTGAAAGCAAAAGTTCTCCTCGTGATGCCAAGGTGTCAATGCCTGATGGCAAGATGTCGACCGATATTCTTCGGTTCCCGTCGATTTTACCGCGAAAATCGTAAGTAATAAAGATATAACCTAGATCTGACCAACTTTTCCACCCTAGAGTAGGTACTCTTCATTTGACTATATATATATATATCCGTCCTCCAGAGTCCCATGCTGCAGACAAGGAGACAGAGATAGAGTTCGGTCAACATCGGTGGCTGCGAATGGAGGAGTGAGAAGTTGGTTATTGTATGTTGTTTGTATGAGATGTCTCAAGACCTGCGAGGTTATACTAACGCAATGTTTACAATTTTTACGATGACCTAAATAATATCTACATCAAACTCGAACTCGATTTCAGAAGACTAGGAGTGGATAGACCTCAGGTTAGGTTAGGTTAGGTGGGTTTCTGATATGTATTAGTATATTTCTTAATAATTCCTATATTGTAGAGTCGATATTAAAAAGTATCTCCTAGTTTTTGGTTGGTTCTCGACTTCTGATATATGGGGTATCCTGCACAAGATGATCAAGAGAGTTGATAGAAACTGAGAAAACCATCAAGGAAACCTACCACGACCTCCGTCTGATAAATAGAGAGTGCTTCTGTGATAGTTCTTATCGTTCAGAGCTCATAGAACAATGATTAATATTTTCGTTGGTATGTTTTTCTCAGGCTGTGCGAACTATATTCAGACAATGAATGATTCTAAGGTGATTTATTGTTTGATTAATTAAGATTTGATTGTTGTTGATGAAAATGAAATTGAAACCGTAACATACTGATCATTAATCAGGGAATTGATAGATTTCTCATACTCATATTTTCATTCATATACATGTTGTCCGGAATAATGTGGAGAATCTCTTGATTAAATAAGATGACAATAGTTCCTATTTATGAATATTGGTCGTAAGACGCTTCGTTTTTGAGAAGATATATGGCGTTGAAATAAAAAATAATCGTAAAATAGTTTTGATTCATAAACACCCTGTATGCGCTATATCGTTACGGCAAAAAGTATTGTGTCATATATAAATAAGAGACTCATTGGAATGTGGACCACCCTCATGAATTTTTTATTTATATATATATATATATATATATATATAAATATAAATTGAAGACAATCGAGATGTGTCCCGGCGTGTTCGCCAAAACTTTGAATCTAATAATTTTAACGATAATGATATTCTGCGCCCGAGAGTCGGTAATTAATCTTAGGAACTCCAGACCTGTGAATAATGGTTATTCACCGCTATTATTCACTGGTGTAAGAAATGTCTATCGCTAATTTTTTGCAACACTCGTGGAAAAACATGAATTTTGTCCTAACGACGCCACGACTGGTACCTATTCATATCAGCTGAAAAATACCACAAACGTGTCTGCTTACAGATACTCAGTATAAGACCTGAATATCTCGTATCTTTTTTGAATGATTTTTTAGTTAATGAAGGAAAATCAATTCTTTGATTCAAATTGAATGCCCTGTATTTCGAAAACGAAGCATCTCACGACCAATAATCTTAGGCACTATATCTCAAACCCAGAGATTTCCACATTTTCTTGGAAACTTTGTATATTGACACGAGGAGATAATCTCAAAAAAACTGAAGATATATAAACATTCCACCTCCTCGGTTGAACAACGGGCAGTATATTAAATTTATAAGTGGATAGGTGGAAGTGAAGATTTCAAATACATAAAGAGTGCAATTTTTGTAATGTAGAAATATGGAAATAGTTAGTGTGTCGTATAATAATATTAGTTTTGAGATTTAGTGAACGTTTCAATTTTGCTGTAGTAAGCCTATCTAAAATTACATTTCTTTCTTTCTGAACGGTGATCATTTGGTCAATAGAATTCTTAAGGCTAACAATATTACTATTGATTTCACTGAAACCAGCAGATACTGCTGTTCTCTTATTAGGCCTAGACATTCCTAGATTAGATGAACTTGCACCAAGAGCCTTCGGCAGAGTTACATTTTCATTAACTATTCCTGCTGCTGCAGTGGCTAAAGGCTTGTGTTCTGGATCACCTGCTAAAATTTCTTCCAATCGCGAATAAAACTCCCAAGTGGAGCTTCTGTTGGCAGATCCGGTGTGGCTTTCTTTTTCGGTAATTTTCTTGTAGGTAGCTTGTAAACCCTTTCATTTTCTATCGCAACATTCCCATGAAACTCTATACCCCTTTTTCAAGAGACATTTGGAAATGTTACCAAACAAATACCTTTTTTTATGAGGCAATTTCATCTCTTTCTTTCGTCTCTCAATTTCATCAAGTAAGAGTAAATCGGCTGATCTTGGCCATATAAATTTCTCTTTTTGAGTGGGAGTTTCTGAAACAATATTCTGGTTCATGAAGGGATGTTCTGAGTATACTTATATATATATAAAATTTGATTTCACGACAAGAAAGAGTTTAATATTTAGTAACAGGTGCATATATAATAACAGAGAGAAATCTCTGGTGGGCAGAATATTTGCGTTTCTTCATCTTTCGCAAATCTTGTTGAATGTTCCCGTATTTGCATACATCAGCTGTATGTTGGAAATTACCTAATCGAAGAGCGGCGCTAACAAAAAAAAAAGAGGAGAAATATTGAATCGCTAGAGAAATTACCAAGTCATATACCAAGCAATCAACCTTTGGAAATCGAAAATATATATTGCCGGACAATTCACATACGGGCCCATTTTCCTAAATCTGGAATTCAGAAGATATAATGGAATCAATATATAGGTACCTATAGCTTCCAATGTTGATTCATCAATAATAACTGATGAATCTTCATCAAATTCTTCCTCATCAGGTATGGTTTGAGTGACAGTTTCATCTTCTGACTCTGAGTGGGCAAATATAATTTCATCTTTGTACAATTTAAAATATTTATCGCTTACCATCTCCAGGAACCTTTTATCTGAAATAGATTGATGATGTGAAAGATTTTTGTGAACTTCGAATTTGAGTAAATAACCATATAAGTAATAACCTCTTAGAATTCGGTGGTAATCTTCAGTACTCAAGTGAACTTGGAATTTCACTCCACTCCTATGAGTTATCACAACAGATACCTCATTTTCATCCATTACGTTTCGTTTCGTAGATATACTCAGTAGCACTGGATCTCCGTGAGATGAAATGGAATATAAAATATCGAAAACTATCAATCTTGGTCGATCGTTGAACTCTGGCGCTAAAAATTAAATCTCACCCGCGAAAATTAACATTCATTCAAATTTGAATGCTTTGACATTTCCATGACATTAATTCATGTCTTTTCATGTCAAATATAAATGACGTTTACTGACCGAAACAATGGACTGAACGATTTTGACCTCATTTTAAATGAGACTACGTGGACCACGGTCTGATCCATAGTCTGACTACGGTCTGAACGAATTGACACGAATTGACCATGGTCCGACTAGGGTCCCTTGATGGAAATTGACGTCAAAGTCATCATAACAGGGTACGGACAGATCCTCGTCTCCTCTCACTCTAAAGTGTTTGTGAAACAGTTATATAGTTCCATCCTTATTCAATTCTGGGGATAAACACTAGATTTTTGACATTCGTTGTTGTTTAGGTTATATTGAGGTCACTGGCGTATCATACGTAATTTCCATATGGAATTCCTGATTCAACTATACCAAGATATAGATGAACAGTCCTCTAGATTTAGAGTTTACTACTCCAGCATAATCTTTGCGAGGTAGGGAACATATAAATTGTACTGAAAGCTTAATATATTTCACTAAAAGAGACTGTTCTTAGACTGTATACTAGGGTTGAATGAATTGACTGAATGAATTCTGATTTCAAGCTGAGCAGAAGTTCATGTATCAGCTTAATGAGCTGAGTCTTATGATTGAGAAATGATGAAAACCGAAACTACTGTACTTATTCATCCAGCTCGTGAAGAATTTATGGAGTGACCAATATCACGTATATCATGTATAAAACTTTGTCTAGGACGAAAAGTAGGCTGATAAAAAGTAATACGTAAAATATGCAGGAAAATGAAGAGTAGAATATACTTTATCCCCATGTTATATACATATGATTTTTTCGTCCCCCTCAAATTAAAAGTCATTTTCGAACAATTGATTGATAAAAGTAACAAAGATGTAGGTATACGCAGTATAACTTATAGTCACGTTATTTTCACTCTTGCATCCTACATATTTTCTATTTGTGGTAGAGTAATAATCATATAAACTAATGTTTTTCGCCATATCGAATCCGCCATCTTGAATTTTCCAATTTTGACGGAACGATCATTATCTCCTACCCCGGAAACCCCCAGATACCAATTTTGAATAGAATCGAATCTCCATTACAAAACTCGTCCACCATAATGGATCCGCCATCATGAAAATCACAATTTTGACGAATTAATTATAATCTCCGACCCCACGGAAATTCACATATACCAATTTTGATTTTTGAATAGAATCGGATCATAATTACAAAATTCGTTCGCCATATTGGATCCGCTATCTTAAATTTCTCAATTTTGACAAAAAATCATGAAGGTTGACCCCGAAAACCCTCCTTAAATAGAATCAGATCATAATTAGAAATGTCGCTATACGGGCTGATTCATGGTGGCAGCGCTGAGAATATTTCAGGTCGATAGAACACAACTAATTATTCAAGGCACCAACTTTTCAGAATAATCCTGAGTTGCGTTTTCCCGAAACGTCTAATATGCCATCCACCGTGAATCAGCCTGTATATTGGAATGGTCATCTTGAATTTTCCAAGTTTGACGAAACAATCATTATTTATCTCCAACACCGGAAAACCCAAGATATCTTCCAATTTTGAATAGAATCGGATCATAATTACAAAACTCGTTCGCCATATGATCTTCAACAAGTAAACACCCTGTACATACCTATTATTGAAAATTCGAATGATTTTCTGTAGCGCCCATGGATGTGACGTGACAGCAATGCCAGTGATGCCAGTAGACAAAACTAAAGTCTCTAGATCATTAAAAAAGAATGCAGCTATGATCTGTCCGTACCCTGTTAAGATGACTTTAACGTCAATTTTCATCACGGGACCCTAGTCAGACAGATGGTCAGACTTCATACTGAACGTATGTGCCCGGTCAAACCACCAACTTGACATGGTATATGCCTGGTCAAACCACAGACTTGACACAGCCTCAATGTCCTCAAGTCGGCAAATCCTCACCGTCATCAGTACGTACAGCTAAACCAAAGAATCTCTCGAACATCGAGGTCAAGTGACGTCACCCACAACACATATTCCTTTTTTCTTTATATTGAGAAACTATGACCAACTATGACTAACTTAAGTAAAGCCATAACTTAGTGGTATGTGTATCTGACTTCCACGGTGGTGACTAGGGTTCAATCCCTGCGATGAGTCTTTTTTTTTCAATTTTTTTCACTCAATTAATTTTCCAAAAATGCAGATGATATTATTCTCCCTAACATTCTTAACCTCAAGATTTTCGACAGCACAGCAGCATGCTACTAATTGATTGGCTGGCGAGAGACATTTGTCAATCGATGTATCGGCCAATGAACTCAAGTGTATCGGCACCATATGACCTAGAGTCACTGGATGGTATTAGTTCAAACTAGGGTCCCTTGATGGAAATTGACGTTAAAGTCATATAACAGGGTACGGACAGATCCTCGTCTCATCTCACTCTAAAGTGTTTGTGAAACAGTTATATAGTTCTATCCTTATTCAATTCTGGGGATAAACACTAGATTTTTGACATTTGTTGTTTTCTAAGTTATATTGAGGTCACTGGCGTATCATACGTAATTTCCATATGGAATTCCTGATTCAACTATACCAAGATATATAATTTAAAAATCCTCTAGTTTCAGAGTTTACTACTCCAGCATAATCTTTGCGAGGTAGGGAACATGCTTAGTAAATTTCACCAAAAGAGACTGTTTTTAGACTGTATACCAGGGTTGACTGAATTGACTGAATGAATTCTGATCTCAAACTGAGCAGTAGTTAATCTATGAGCCGAATGAGCTGAGCCTTATGATTGAGAAATGGTGAAAACCTCGATGTGAGTATCTAAACTACTGTACTCATGTAATGTGTGCTAAATATATTTTCGGAAATCGAACTCGAAGAATTTATGGAGTGACTAATATCACACTATGTATAAAACTTCGTCTAGGACGAAAAGTAGGCTGATGAAAATCAGAAAGTAATACGTAAAATGTGCAGGGAAATAAAGAATATAATATACTTCACCCCCATGTTATACATATGATTCTTCCGTCTCCCTTAAATAAAAAGTCATTTCAAATAATTTATTGATGAAAGTAACAAACAAGTTGGTATGCGCAGTATAACTTATAGGCACATTATTTTCAATCTTACATTCTACATATTTTTTATTTGTGGTAGAGAAATAATTATATAAACCAATGTCTTTCGCCATATTGGATCCGTCATCTTCGATTTTCCAATATTGACGAAACAATCATTATCTCCTACCCCGGAAACCCCTAGATATCAATTTTGAATAGAATCGAATCTTCATTACAAAACTTGTTCGCCATATGATCTTCCTCAACAAGTAAACACCCTGTACATACCAATTATTGAAATTCTGAATGATTTTCTGTAGCGCCCATGGATGTGACGTGACAGCAATGTCAGGGATGCCAGTAGACAAAACTAAAGTCTCTAGATCATTAAAAAAGAATGCAGCTATGATCTGTCCGTACCCTGTTATATGACTTTAACGTCAATTTCCATCAAGAGACCCTAGGTCCGACCTGCCGCTGAACGTAGCCCTGAATTCCTCACAAGATGGCAACACATTTGGACATATTTATTATTGTATTTATTAACTCCGCTGTTTTTTATTTTATTCATACAATAATACTATTGCGTGTAGGTACTATATGAATCAATTCCAAAAATGGTTAATCAATCTTTGATTGTATGTACTATTATTTATTCTAGCAAGTGTGTCAGTACATAACCCCATCTATCGAAACATTAAAGAAGCATAATATACGATTTTTGTTCAATGAAGGATTTTTAGAGGAAAATGTTAAAATTCGAAGAACGAAGAATAAATAATCTTGAACAGTGGTCCCGCAACCATTGTTATAATAAATAGTACTTTCCAAAAACGTAAAGAGATGACTTTTTCGATTCAATGTTTTTTTTTTCAGAAAATAACTCGCATCATCGTGTATTTCTTGTAGGTCGTATAGACGTACTCGAATGTACGTCTTCAAGACGTCTTTTATACGTCCTTGGAGGAATGATGTGAATCAGGCCTAAAATGTACGTCTTTAAGATGTACATTCCTGTACGTCTCAAAGACGTACACGAATGTACGTCTTTAAGACGTCTTTTATACGTCCTTGGACGTAAAGACGTAAGTCGGACGTGAAATGTACGTCTTAAAGACGTCTGGTGCTGATTGGATCCCAAATAGGGGACGAATTAATTAATTAATTCGTCCCTTATTTGGGCTGACTCTGCTACATCCCCAGATACACGTCGCTGTTTCGTAACAGTAAACTGACCTATGCACGTCTATGTGATCTTATTTGAGTCAATATTCCAACGCCTTCTTCAAAGTATTCTTATTTCATCCACAGAACATTTTATGTGACGTAAGTACTTTTATCATTTTCCGTGGGACTATTATCACGAACTTGATTCGAATCAGACACGTGTATCTTTCTCACTTTGTGCTATTTTGCTTATATTCGCCATTGTGTGCGTTCCACATAGGGCCCGCAACGATTAAAATGTATTTTTTGGCGTTCCACTTAGGGCCATATATGTTACGGTCAAGCTCTATTCAACTCTGAAACGTCATGAGTGACGTCATGGATAGAAGCCACGAAAGCCCACAACGACCGCTATCGATAGGTGGGTTTGCGTGGGACGTCCTGGCACTTTGGTCAAGTGGAACGCGGTCGTGGTCATTCAGCAGTCAAGTCAAATTGAAATATCAAATTTTCGACGATCATACAAATTGAAATAATATCAATTGTATCGAAATGGAGAGAGTCTTGGTTAATTTATTACTAGTTAGAAGAGAAATTGTCTCGTCTGAAAGTGAATCCAGTTCCGACGATGAATGGGATACAGTTTTGAAAGAAAGGGGTACTCGTCAATTGCGTCCACGTATATTGAACTATACAGGTCTTGTAGATCGGTACCTAGATCACGAATTCAAGAGTCATTTCAGGTTCCGTGAACAATGGTGCTTTTCAACACTATTGTACCATTCATTTTTTGTATTTCTAGAATATCTCGAGCTACTTTTGAATTCGTACTTCAGACTATAGGGCAAGATTTAGTACGGCGGAAATTGGAAGGTTGTCCAACTATTCCTGCTCGCGAGCAATTGATGATAGCACTGTGGAAAATGGCCACTATCGATTCATATAGGTGAAAGAGTAAAACCTTCATTTCATCAACAAATTCTATCTACTTATGTGTTTCCAGGTCTGTATGTGATCGATTCAATGTGGGAAGAGCTACTGCTTTGAGAGCTGTACGCAGAGTAACTGATGCTCTGATCAGGAAATCTCAAGTTTTCATTCAATGGCCCAGTCATGATAGAGCCATGACAATAATACATGGCTTTGAAGAATGCAGTGGTTTCCCTAAAACAATGGGAGCCATAGATGGTACTCACATCCGCATTGATGCACCTAAAGAGAATTCTGCAGATTATGTGAATCGTAAAGGTTTTCATCCCATTCAGTTGCAAGTAAAGAGTTGTGGAAATATGCCATTAGTTAATTAATGCACTATCTTATTTGTAGGTGGTATGTGACCAGAGAACTTTAATCATGCACTGCTATGCAGGATATCCTGGGTCAGTTCATGATCAAAGGGTATTCAGACACTCAGAAGTAGCAGATTTCCTCAATGACGCCAATAAATTTCCATTAGATAGTTTTTTACTTGGAGACGCAGCTTATGAACTACATGATCGTCTGCTCACTCCATTCAAAGATAATGGCCACTTGAATGACAGACAAAGAAATTACAACTACAGACATTCATCTGCAAGGGTAGTTGTTGAAAGATGTATAGGTTTACTAAAAGGGCGCATGCGAAGTTTATTGCATTGCTTACCAATGCGCAGATTAGATTTGATGGTAAAATACATCATAGCATGTTGTGTTATTCACAATATATGCACTCTGAGAGGGGATGAAATTGCAGTTATTGCAATACCACCACATGCCGAAGACAATGCAAGAAATCAGAATGTTCAAGGACATGCTTTAGCTCAACAGCATACAGGCATCCTCAAGAGAAATATAATTATGAATAATCTTATTATGGATTGATATTAACTGAAAAAAAAAAACAACAAAAAGTACAAAATAACAAAATAATATATTGAGAACAAAATGAACAAGTATTAACAAAAACTATACTGTGAAAAAAAGACAAAATAAAATTATCTTCTACAAAAACACAAACTGAAACTTTTATTCTTCATCACTTCATCAATATCACTTTTCTTTTTCAACAAACTTTTGTAAAATATCAAGGAGTTGTTGATCCATTTTTATTTTTTCATTGTGGCGCTTTTGTTTTGCATCTTCATGTTGCTCTTTCTGCTTCATCCTCTTTTGAAGAAGGGTTGTGGCAGAAATTTTGCCAGAATTTGAAGGACCTGAAACAGTAATCAAGAATGAATAATTGAGAATATATTGTGTAGGAATAACTCACCAGGTGTTATGGAACTATGTGATTTTTGATCACTAACACCATTAACCAGGGATATTCCCGAAGATGATGCCACAGCTACAGGCATGCACCATGCCTTTTTTGAAAATATGTCATCCATGATCTGGAAAATGAAAATTACCTATTGAAAGTGCAAGTTCATAACTTTGTGAATATTAACTTTACATTAAAATATTGCCAAGTCTTTCGGTCATTTCCAGACTTATTATTATGGTCTTTTATGGCTTTATAGGTTTTTTTCAAGCTGCGTAGCTTTGCAGCACATTGAGGACCGGTGGCAATGTAGAGATTCTCTTTCAGTGTCTTCGACACAATCTCCCAGCATTTCTTTTGAGAATATTTCCCATTACTAAATTTATCTTCCATGTCCCTGTATGTCTCCAAAAGTAATAAAATACATGGTGCTGACCACCGATAAAGAGAACCTGAAACAACCAATGAACATAATCAAATTACTGTTTACAATAATGGCATACCTTCGTCTGCTTCGCTTTCCACCTCATTAGTAGCAATACATTTCTTTTGTTCATCAGGTTCGTCTGGTTCTGCATTCTGAGTTTCCATATTCTGCTCTGCGACAGATACAGTGGATACAGCCCGTTGTTCTTGTAGAGCTGAATTCATTAGGAGAGTTGCAAACTCCATATCTATCAAAAATACGTATCAACATTGTATCAATATCATATAGGTACAAAATTAGGTACAAAATTGATTTTGTGTTAAATTTTATCTACCTGTTTGTACACGAGTGGCATCTTCTTTGGACAATAACACTTCCACTGAGGTGTCTGTTTCGGGATCGTACAAAGATATTTTCTCCATTTTTCTAAAATCGCAGTAAAAATAAAAAAATATGAGTGACAGCGGTGACCCGGTGACAGCTAACAGCTTTGATCACGACAAATCACGACGTCCGTTCCACTTGGGTTATTTTCAATTTTCGCTCGCGACGTTTGTGAGCTAGTGGAACGGGGAAATTGCTGTCTATTGGCGTGAGCACTTTGGGTTTTAAGTGGAACGCGCCCATTTTGAGAGATGATGCTGTCGTGGTTATGACGGACGGCGTGGTTTGTGTTGTTTATTTGTGTTTGTGTCTCACAATGAAGTGTGAATTTTGACTTTTGAGGTAGAGTAATAGTCAAGAAAATCAAGTGAAAGTGCGTTTTTTTGGAAAACATGGTGAGATAGGTGAGTTGAATTACCAGAATCATAATTTTCTCTTTATGTATCAGCACACAGTTGTCTGATTCATAATGGCTTCAAGCTTTCATTGGAATATATCAATGTCTTCAAGTACTACATTGTTTACAGGTCAGTACTTATGAAGTTTCCTCGGAACCTGATGGATACCTACATTACTAGAACATGCGTGAGCTCTAGACAAACCTACCCTCTGACCTACTTTAGTAGAAATGATGGAATACACATCTGCTGTTTGCCTGGGAAGTTTAGGTACGAGAAAGTGAAATGCATATAGTAGATAATGTAAATTTCCTACCTAGGTATGGTATATATTTTAGGGGCTAGAACACTCTAAAATCCACCCACTGCCACAGAGGAGGGTGAAAGTATCGAGAATCAAGAACACATCATCAGGAAGGGAACTTATCGAGGCAGAATCGAGGTAGGATGATATGAATATTTGATGCTGATATTGTGTATTACAGTTGTTTGGTGTTTCAGGTGCATTTCATGAAATCCTCAGCCTTGAAATAGATTCGCCCATAGAATCATAAAACTGAACTAACTGAAGTGACATACGTGGAAGGATAATTATTCAATCAAATATCCATTTATTTTCAATTGTAGTTCTACCTTACATACATTGATTGAATACATTTCTGAATTTATTTTTTCCTCTGATAAGTAGGTATTTAGCAATGGAGCTGACTATAGTGAATATCAGGATGATCCAACATAAATGTTCCCTCTTGTAAATTTGGTCATTTCTGGACCGATCGCAGAATTCAAAAACTATTTGGTATATTTTTTAGCCAGAAAATATATACTGGGTGTTTCAAAATATATGGGACGCACATCAAGATGTGATAGAGCAGCTCAAAACAATAATAAATGATCCTTCAAATCATTGACCAGAACTCTTTTGTTCCCAAGTTGTTTAAAATACCTTCCATTTTTTATTTCCTTCGATACATTTGACATGATTGAACCAAGTTTGCTTCATTATACCTATTTTTCGTTCTCTGTAGTAGGAGAAATGAGAGGACGCGTCCCACATATTATGAAAAACCCAGTGTGATAAGATCTAGCTATGTGATTATACCAGTAATAGTTTTCAGAAATCACGAATATTGGTCTTGAAATAACTAAGTTTCAAGGGTGGACATTTTTGGAGTATCACCCTGTATATTTCGAAAGATCCTAGTAATGTTACAAGAGAGTCAACAATAATGAAACAGGAATGTTATGAAATCGTCCAGGGATATGTACTTTTTACATTCCGAAATGGAGACATGGTACGTAAAAGCGTTATCGCAAATACTATTTGAGAATGTACTTTTACTGTAACAAAGCTGTTTCATGACACGTATCAGTTTCGACTCTTACTCAACGTACTTGCGACGTCCTGCGATATTGTACTGTTGGTGGACATATAACGACTCTAAGATAATCTTTGAGATGTCAATAGCACCAAATTCACAACTTAACAACGTATCTTGGTTACAATGAAATAACGTTAATAGTATGAGTTCTTGCACAGTGGGAGGTCACGATATGAGGAGGTTGACCAGAAGTTGATTAAAGGGTGCGATAGGCAATAAACGTTGAATCTTAGGTTTCCGCAGAATCAGTAAATCAATTTATCAAAAACGATTCGATAGCCAAAAGTGAACGTTACGAATTCCCCTCCCACTTTAAGAAATTTGCCTGCAAATTTTTCTTGTTCTGAAGATACACGTAAAAAAATATTAAACTTGTTCCTGACTACCCTAGCCGGTAACAAGATATGTCGCCATGACATCTTAGGTTCCCAGTCATCCCACGGACGGGTGAACCGACCGATCGTCCGAACATCGACGACATCGGCGAAAGATGGAAAAACGCGTCGTGGTTTGCTCTACGGGACCAGCCACTCCTGACGTATCGACACCCAGGCGAATCATCAGGCCCCCCACATTTTTGTGATACTGGTCGCCCGAGTGGAGGATTCCGAAAAAGTTGAAATTTTAATTTAGGGCGTACCCAAGGACTGCCACGTCAACCCTACTCGACTTGAGGGCCGACCAACCTGAAACGGCGCTGATGCCGGGAGAGATATACTTGAACAAAAGTAGAAGGACTATGCCGTTTGTGCTTCAAAGCCGCGACCAACACTCCCTAGGTGGCGCTGTAGATGTGGCGATAGTTTTAACTTCTTGATGTTTGTATTTATAATATGTATTATCCGTATGGTGACGTCATTTTTGCGCCAATTTATATTCCGAATTAAATAAAAAAAACTGTGAGCTGTGCGAACGGGGAATCGAACCCTGGCCGACGGACTGTGAGTCCGAAGCGCTACCATTGCGCCACATCCAAAAGTAAATGTTTGTGTTCAAGTTGGGGATATAACATGCCGGCCGGCCAGCGCGCGGGTCGCCTTCACTCCGTTGGCAGACGTCGGATACTTGGTGCGCGGCGTACCGCATCGTTGCCAGACGTTCAAGTATTTGGGTGTTACTCCGTATTACGGACGTGGGCCATTTGAAGGTGTGTTATCTCCAAGCGACGTTGTATGTCGTTTGCAGATTATGCTTGAGATATAATGTATAGAGTGGAAGGATGCAGAAAAAGCATGGCAGCTTGATGTGTGGGTTAAAGTTGGAGCAATATTCTCGAGGAAGTTTATGCCACACCGCTAATAGTCCACAAGGATCTGAAAGTTCAATGAGACATTCTATTGGAATGTATCTTTTTGGGTTCACAGTGTATATTATGTTAGGAACCATTTTTGCTATTTTTGAGCTTAAAATTCACGAAAAAAGTCCGTACATCTGGGGGAAAATATGCTTCGCTTTCCATAGCTCTTATGGGGCTTCCCTCCATGCATCGTGCAATTTCCGTAGAATCTAGGGAAAAATGACTTAGAATTTTGAAAATTGCGGGGAAACTGGTACAGCTCCTTTATCGGTGAATGTCGTTAAGAGTTTCAGTGGGAGATTTCAGGAAGTCAACGAGGACTGCTATTTCAGACTTCATATTTTTCTCCAATTGGCAGACTGATGAAAAGCAATCGAATAGGTATAAATCTCTGAACATCAGTAGTTGACGCATTATTTCAACTAAACCTTCAGCAATGATGGGAGCCTCGTTGGAATATGATTGTCCCAAATTGTTAAAAACATTTTGCTGTAGAAAAAGGTGTTCCATATCTCCTCTAGATGATGTAGTCGATGGAATGGCATGTCGAAAATAAACAGCTGATGATTAGGAATTTTTCGAAAATAGCTCTATTGGAAGACGTGATTACTACGAGAAGTATACCACTATCAACCACAACAAAAAAAATATAGCTATTCTGAAAGCATCATTTGTATTGCTGTTTTCAATGATGAGGGACATTTTGTACATGAATGTGCCAAACAAAGTCAGCGAAGCAGGAATTTGTTTCAATAACGAGTCATGTCAGTGGATTTCTATGTGGAAAGAACTCATCAATGACGGTCAGATGGAGGTATTTTCAATACAAGTACCAGAAAATGGAATGAAATATAAAATCAGATTGATTTTCAACGATAGGACCTTCGGCGAGCTGAATCAATGGCAGTTTTTTAGAGCCTGACCACCAATACCACCATTGGCACCATCACTGGACCATGACAAATTCTATTCTTTGTTGAACGTGTTTTCATATATCAATTTGACATTCCTAGTTTTGATAGTATTGATTAAAATCATACAACTTCTCTGTAGAAAATGACAAGAAACAAGCTCAATCTTGTCTGTATATTATTGAATAAAAAAATCTCATATCATATGGCTGAAGGTTGTTATTTCGTTCGTTAGTCTCTGTATATGATTTTTAATGGGTATTTCATGTCTTGGAAATATATTATCAATTTGCATAATAAACACATTATTCCAATTAGAACCCACATGACCACTCCTTTTCTACATCCTCTTCGAGGAATGTTTGCGCAACCAGTTGAGAGATAGCCCTGATGGAATCTTATGGTGGATTCATGCAGCAATTTTAAGCCTCAAGTTTTAAGTCGTAAGTTTTAAGTAATTAGTCGTAAGAAGTTGAACAATTGCATTTCAGTGTTGTCATTCATTCAATTCTTGTAAGATTTAAGTTTTAAGTTGTGAGTTTTAAGCAACAAGAAAGTTGGCCAACTTTTATCTCTTACGACCTAAAACTTAAAACTGATTGTATTTGCGCATGCCTGTTTAATTCTTTCTTTAAAATGTGAGGTTATAGGCATTATTTTTATTATTCACTTTTGTTTATCTGATTTGTTCATTTCGGTGGTTCATTCATATTATTTTATAACACAATATCAGATATGGATGAAATGGAAATTGATGCTGGACAGCTTATAGAAATTGTAAGACACTTTTCAGTTTTATATGACATCAAACATAAAGAGTACCGAAATCATGAAGTGAAAACAAATGCCTGGAAAATAATCGGGGAAACCATGAACCGACCTGGTAAATATTTTTAAATTCTCCATACAGAAGTTATATTGAGTATAACTTTTTTTTTATCTTTGAAGCTGCAGAATGTGAAGCACGTTGGACTACCCTTAGAAATGTATTCACAAGGGAATCAAAGAAGGCTAAAGTGGTACCTTCTGGTTCAGGTGGCAAAGGGAAACCATGGATTAGGTTGGAAGAAATGAGCTTTCCATCAGGCTTCATTCGAAGGAGAAAGTATGTATTTATATATTATGCATATTCTTATTATTATTCAATGAAGATATCTGATGCCCTTGATATTTCAGAACAAAAGGTAATGTATCAAAACCTGAAACTGATGAAATTGAAATGGATACTCCATCAGAAAATGTCTGGGACACAATGTCCGAAATATTCCTTGATTCAAGCCAAGTGGAACCAATGGAAAAAACAGGGGAGGAAACCCAAGATGAGAATCGTGATCCATTTGAGGAAGTTGAGGTTGTCTGTGAAACAGAAAAAACCCCAGCAAAAAAGAAGAAATCGAATGATGATCCTAGTACCAGTAGTACACCTAAAAACTCTTCACACCCATCCATAACCCTGTTGAGAAATGAGCGCCATGAGAAGAGAAGAAAGAATACACAGCAAACTACACTGATAGAGACAATAAATAATGCTTGGGGTAAATTTGACAATGTCTTGAAACAAAGTAGTCATGATGAGGACCCAGATATTTTGTTTGGGAAAATGGTGGGTGTTGAATTAGTCAGCATTACCAATGATGATGTTAAATTCAATGCTAAACAAGAAATACTGAAGATTTTGCATCATTCAAAAAATGATCAAAGGCACTGAACAACAAGACTGGAAATTTTGTTTTTTTTTATTTTTTTATATTTCAAATATTATTTATTACTTCACTCTTCTACCTGGTTTTTTTGAGAATTATTTTCAGATTTGAAAAGCCTGGGGATGTTATTTTTTGTTCGTTTTTTTCTATATTTCCAGTATTATTTATGATTTACTCTTGTACCTGTTTCATGTAAGAATTATTTTTTATTTTCAAAGCCTGGAAATGTTGTTTTTTGTTTATTATTTCTATATTTCAAGTATAATTTATGATTTACACTTGTACCTGTTTTTTTTTTCAAGAATTATTTTCAATTTTCACAGCTTTGTACCTGATTGTACCCAAGAACTTAAGTTTGACGTTTTTCTACTTGAATAAAATATTTAAAATTCAACTTCAAGTATATCTTTATTTCACACAAATCCTAATGAAAACTGAACATACATATGGTACCTAATATTTATGTAAAAAAGGCCTTATAAATATATCATCAACCTAATGATTAGCAAAAAAATTAGAGCATTCCTAATTTTGAAATCGTCCAATCAAAAAGAGTAAGCAACCAAAAATTATCTGGGAGAGAACCCTTCAGGATACTTTCCATTTGCCATGGTACACTTCCTAGTTCACTGTTAAAGTAATCACACAAGATATCTCTATTTGATCTAATGGATGCTTGAGCATTGTTTGCACCTAATCTACCCACACTCCTGAGGTGAGTCCTCTCTTCCCGCCATGATCCAGGAATTACAGTACCATCAAACGTTTCAATATCTGTGTAACCAGTAGGACAATAGTGCCTCTCCTCAACAGGTATGTCCTCTTCAGCTCTCTGCAGATAATTATGAAGCACAACAGTTGCTAAAGCAATATTTTCACATGTGCTTACATCACCAATTATAGGTTTTCTCAGTATCCTCCATCTCTGAGCCAATATGCCAAAAGTATTTTCAATGGTTCGTCTAGCCCTTGATAACCTATAATTGAATATTCTTATTCTTTCTCCTGCATTTTGTTGAGGATATGGCCTCATAATATGCTGTGTCAGAGGGAAGGCAGCATCAGCCACAAATACATAGGGTAAAACAGTATCTGCTGTATTTGGTAATTTCATATCTTGTGGTATACTGAATTTATTTTTCAGGATCTCATACCCAAAACCAGATTCCTTGAATACAGTAGAGTCATGATTGCTTCCTGCCGCACCTATATCTACCACTGTGAATCTATAGAAAGCATCACAGCTAGCCATTAACACAATACTGTGGTGTTTTTTGTAATTGAAATATAAAGATCCTCCATGATATGGTGCTTGAATAGTGATGTGCTTTCCATCGATTGCCCCAATACAGTTTGGAAAGTTCCATCTCTTGAAGAAGCCCTCTGATATGTGCTGCAAATCTTCAACAGATGGGGGTTTCAGATAAATTGGTGACAATACATCCCAATACAACTTTGGTAGTTTCATGAATGATCTCACAAACAGTGGAATGTCCAATCATGTGACCCCATGCTAATTCTTGCATAGAGCAACCCTCAGCCAAGTAACTGCAGTAATATCAGGGTTATCATTCGATTTGTACTGTGGAAGTGTATACTCACTGTAGTGTAATGATCAAGCGTTGAGCAGGTGACAAAGGGTGTTTTGATTCATCCTTCTGCAAATTGGGCTTTACTAACTTCAATAAATTGAAAAAAAGGTTTGGGGTCATCCTGCAATATTTGAAGAAACTGTCTTCATCAGTCAGCAACATGCTTTTCAATAATTTTTTTTTTTTTTTTTTTATCGCTTGGAGCGCACGAAAGGGAATCCCTATAATGTTCGAAGAACATCGCGCGTTCCTAGGGAGGATAGGGACAGGAGGTAGGTATTGGAATTTTTTTTGAACTTTTGGAGATTATATGTTGTTGGGAATACTTCCACAGGCAATGAATTCCAGAGCCTAGCCGTTCTATGGATGAAGGAGTCTTGATAAAGTGCTGTTCGACATCTTTCGAGGTTGACAACGAAAGGATGTGCTGACTGGGCTTGTCTAGTTCGTCTGATTGGTATTGCTAGTGAAGGGATGATAGCAGAGATTTCCGAAGAACATTTCCCGTGGAAGTATCGATAGAAAAGTGAAAGGTCGCCGACCTTTCTACGGTGTTCCAATGATGTCAAAGAGTGAGTGAGTTGTAACGTTTTCAATTACTCATTTACCTTACTCACCAAACGTTACATCAGTAAGCTTGATTTCCTACTTAGTTCATTTAACTTAGTGAATTTCCAAGCAGTTCATTTTATTTTTCATTCACAACAGAGTTTGGTAAACTATTGATTTATAAAACACATTGCCTCGGTCTGTGTTCCATTCCTAAGATGTATAGGTGTCCTGAAAAGAATAAGGTAGTTAATTGATAATAAATAGTGATGAAAACAAAAATAAACAGAGCACCACATTAACAACAATAAATTCAAATTAACTTACCAAGTAGATAGAAACCATCAATGTTGTTCTGTAATCACATCCTAGGGAGACGTTGTTTGGTTTCCAGCAAATAAAAATCTGAAAAGGAAATAGTGTTAGTGAAATTTAGACCAGGCGGCAGTATGAAAATTTAACAAGAAATATCAAGTAAATACCTTACACACTTACCTCTCTAGTGTACATAGTGTACATTCTTTGGGTTTTAACTTCATGGAGTAGTTATTTATTTTCAAGTCATATTATTGCAGGTGATTATCCAATGTTGACTGGTTGAATATTTTAGGGTTATGTTTGCTTATGTCAAGTGACATTAATTCTTCTTAACCAATCATCGGCCATAAAACATGAAATTTCTTCTTGACATTTTCCAAACAGAAACTCAAGGTCATCACACATGGTAATGACAAGAACTCACGGCAGTATCGCTAAAATGTCGATTGCTGCATGGATTATTTGTTGCACCCTGTCTCTAGGTAGCACGTCTCCCCATCTCAAGTACTATTGAATAGGAGCCATGGATTTATCCTAGGAACTTCGCTTTCCAAGCTGACAAGTTGATGTTTTGTGGAAATTTATGGTGTTGAGACTTTGAGAGAAATCAAATTGTCAAAAGAAGGAGAGGGGGTATTTTCCGGATTTCGTTTTTCCGGGAATGACGAGACGAGAGGTCCCATCATTCTTTTTCGATCACCCACGCCGCGAATGTGACTTTTGTGTAGTTGGTTAGTACGACCACAAAATTTTGAATTTCTTGGCGATTATGCCAAATCAGGTCATCCTGACATGAGTAACTGACCTACACCGATTCCCCCGCAATCATCTAAATTCTAAGTCATTTTTCCCCAGATTCTACGGAAATTACAGTGTGCATGGAGGAAAGCCCCATAAGAGCCCATGTGTTCGAGAGAGACAGATAATGCAGATTTTCCCCAGATCTACGGACTTTTTTCCATGAATTTTAAGGTTCAAAGTAGCAAAAATGGCTCTCTTCCAAGGTTTCCGACGAGTGAGCTTCCTGCAAGCTGGTGACGGGAATACATATCTACAATAACAAGATAGATACATAATAGGGTGTGCCGAATGGAAAATTTTAGTGAGCTAACTGATTTTGCGTGTTCACCAACGGTGCTAGGGGTTAGGTGGGTGACGTAAGGTGCTGGGTGGGTGGACTACCTTCCGTGCGAACGATATAGTAATAGTAATAAGTTCTCGTTCGAAAGGATTATCCTTCGTGCGATCCAAAAGATTATGGATACTCGTCTTGTAATGTTTAAAATCTGTCGAAGACGTTGCAGACCTTCTGGTAGGTGAACTGAAGAACCCAATAATAATTTGCTAGGTGTGTTTGTTTATCACGCTCGATCATCGATTAACATAATACCATGGCCACTATGCAGTTCAATAACAAGTGCTCCAGACCTCCATGATCGCATTGATATTTACGTAATAATTCCAAATCGTGATTTCAGGTGTTTGTCTATGATCGCACGTAGTTCATTCTGTTCAGCAAGTTAGTGTTAAGACAAGAGGGTAGGAGAGGGGTGAAAATGGATGCTACAAAATCAAACTGATCAGGAAGCTATTTCAAATCTGTTTCAAGGAAGAAATCTTCCAAAAATTCATTCGTAAGCTCTTGTTTGGAATTTCTATTATTCAGACAAGAGGGTAGGAGAGGGGTGGAAATGAAAACGAAACACCTCTACTTTTCAGTTTTCCAAAAATCTATCACATCTATATAATACAAGTTGGATAAATAGCTTGCGAAATCAATTCATCATTGAAACAGAAACCAATGGAAACTATCATACTAGCAGGATTATTGGGAGTATAGAAATCGCAGCCCATTTCCACACCACCAGGAGGTAGAGCTATGGCGCGTTGCTTCTTTTTTGAAAGTGGGAAGCTTCCCCAGGAGGCCTACTGCAACCACTTGATTAATAATTAATTTGTGATAGATATATTTCTTGATCTTACTCATTCTTAGATTCGTGGTGAGGGAGGGTGGGAGGGGAGTGCAAAGCATAAATTTCAAATAATTTATTTCTTTACATAATATATACATTCAAACTAATTCATTTCTATTGCATCATTATCCAACATACTTGTTGATGGAATAGAATAATGTCCCAATGGGAGAGTTTCATTAGTACCAGGAATCAAGTAGCGTTTATCATCATTTGCGCTCAACGCTATCTTCTGTTGTGTGGTTGAAAATACAGTATATTTTTGTGCTCTGATGAAATTTTGTGAAACTGTTTTCTGCTCATGAGTTTCCAGACATTTGACGTAATCTTCGAAAGTGATATTCGTTTCAACGACAGATGATTTCACGCCTTTAGCTTTCTTTGTGGTACCCATATTCATAATGATTTCATCGATTTCATCCTGTTCATAGTCTTTTGCTTGTAATTCTTTCCTTTTCAGCACTATATCATCTTCAGTTATCAACACTCTCGTCGTGTATAATTTTGATCGGAGTCCAACATAATCTGTCATTATAACAGAATTATTCTCATCTTTTAACATGCCCAACACCT